GCCTTTCAAACATGTGTATATGTATATGGAATGTAGGGGTCCTGGTTAAGCCCTGGACCGCTAAATGTAGGCCAGCAGTTCAAAATCACCAGGAAACTCTACACAGGGTCACTATGAGTTGGAATTGACGTGATGGCACTTAATAACAACAAAAGTGTTCTATACTTGAGGACTCTGGTGACAGTACTATAGATAAATATTTTTACCTCTTGAATTTTTAATATAAATATCCTCATTTCAGTTTTAAATCTTTTGGGGAGGAAATAAGAAAAAAAAAAAGGCAAGTTAAATGATTTTAAAACAACAGAAAATGTTTTAAGATGAAATAAATGAGACAGTATATAATCATGTATCAAAGGAACTACAGGGAAAAAATACAGCTATTGGGTTCGGAAGAGGGTGTAATCAACACAAACTGGGTACTCAGTGACACTATATGGATGGAATATGCAGGGGCTGAATTGAGTAAGAGTAGAATTTAGAACACAACAAGAGGGATCAGGAAAGCCTCATGGAGGGAGATGAAGTAGAAAAGAAATAGGTAACTGACTGTGTTGAGGAAATAGTCAACTGGCATAGATAAAATGGATTCATGTAGGATAGTTTTGAGAGATAAAGCTGGAAAAACAGATAATAGTGAAGTTGTCAAGAAACCTTAAGTATTCAACTGAGGAACTTATATTTTCTCCAGGGGGGTTCAGCATTTTTAGTAGTATGTTCTGTGAGTCACCAGCACCAGAATCAATTGTGGTACCTGACAAAATTGTAGTTTCATGGTCCCAATCCAATCCTACTAAATATGAATCTAGTACTAGGGTCATGACAATTTTATTGTTTTTAAACAAACTTCTCATCTCATGTCTAATTACGTGCACCAACATTTTGGAATCACTTATAATTATGTATACAAAATGAAATGAAGGAGTTGGGGGAGGGATAGCAAACAAGTTATAGTAATAGTCTGTCATGGCCTACACCAAGGATCTAAAATATGTTGTTGTTAGGTATCATCATGTCTTTTCCAACTCATAGTGATCCTGTATAGGATTTCCAAGGAGCAGTTGGTGGGTTTGAACTGCCAACCTTGTGGTCAGCAATGCAACTCAAGACTCCCCAAAATACTATATAGTAACAGTAAAATAGAGAAGAGGAAGTTGATCTCAGAATATGATGAAAGGATCTGTAAGATCTAAGGCCGGATCAGGGCTCAAAGAAAGGAACTGAATACAAAGAATTTGTTACGTATCAAGCCTCTGAGGGGACAATGAACACTGTGATGAGGAACAGAAACAGAGAGATCATAAGGAGCAGCCACTTTGGGAGGAAAAAATCAAATCCATTTTGCTATTGTTGTTGTGAGGTGCTGCGGATTCAATGCGGACTCAAAGTGACCCTATTTACAATAAAACCAAGCCCTGCCTGGTCCTGTGCCTCCTCACAATCTTTGTTATGCTTGAGCCTGTTGTTGCCACTGTGTCAGTCATGTACACCACATGACACGGAAGCATTTTCTTTATCATGTAAGCTAGATATTTTCTCAAATCGTTTTGTAGCTCTATAATTTGACGTACTTAATATCAATATTGCTGTTTCTATTACTTGGCCAGCACTCCAGAGTCTCTAAACTGGTGCTAACAGAACAATCTATGGTAATAAATACAATTTTTGAAGAAGAGTTTAATGCTGTAGGGTATATGCTATTTCATAATTTTTTTTGAATGATATGAATGCATGCATATATAACGAGCAGAAAGTCAAAAGGCTCTCGTGGAAACCCCTCCACACTCTGGAGGCGGGATTTACTCTACAAAGCCTCCTGTCATTGCCAGTGGCCAACTAGACAAGTTGGAGGGTTGTTTTTTTCCCTCTCTCTCCCCTCTGACATGTGCTTTAGCTGCAGTGGAAAGGAAATGTGTCATCCATCTGTGGTTTGGCTTTAGAAGTGGAAAGCTAGCTGTACATATCCTTTTTTACTGCAGATTTACTTTAAGATTCTTAATCTCCAAGTCAATTCTGTTTTAAATTACTTGGAAGCTGTGCTTCAAGACAAGAAAAGACGTGATTTATTAAAATCACATTATAAACAGATTTTGACCAAGCATTTCATAAGGTAGGTTACATATATATGTATCTATATATAATATGCATTTTTCTTATATCTTTTCACTTATAACTGTGTATCAATTCATGTTGAAGGAAGCGCTTTCAAACAGTACTTAAGAATCTCACTAACAAGTAGAATTACAAGTGATTGAAAATGGATGTATACTATTTTTTCCTATCCTATTAAATAAAATTTAAGTTTTATTTACAAATTTAGAAGTAGAAAGATTTATAATCAACAAGGAATTGTAAACTAAGATTGGCAAAGACAAAGTTTAGATTCTACAAATGAACTGGAAAGTTTTACTTGGGAGTGAAGGTTTAAAAGGTAAATTTCTCATGACTAATGGTTAGGTATTTTGAATTTTACTGAAAATGACCAGATACAAAGAAAATGTTTGATAATATAACCTAGTGTCCATGGCATAAATTAGGCCTCAATTCTCCACATCTGTAAGGATAAGAGAAAGTCTCATTTTGTTAACAGTTTGTTTATTTGGGGATGGCAGTACATCTGGCTGAAGACAATCAACAGCAGGCCTATTATGTGCCCTGTGCTTAAGCACTGTTAAGATGTGTTCAGAATGCTATGATGCGTAGTACATTCTTAATGAATTAATATGATGGGAATAATACACTGTAAATCATTCTTACATTAAATGCATAAGTATAATGTAGTATAAACAGATAAATCACATGCTAACCCAAATTACACTATTTCTCATTGTAATAACCAAAGCTTTATGCCATTCAAAATTTCAAAGTTGAAGCTGAGCACTGTTACATGAAAATCAGTGCATTTTATCTTTAGCTCATATTAAAGGTCTTAACCTAAAAAATAATCCTAATTCTAGAACATTTATATTAATAAAGGTTTTTCCTATTATTAACACAAAATATTATCTCAGAAGTTAGCTTCCAGTTTGTGTTGTTTATGATCTGTTAAAAGCCCTGGTAGCATAGTGGGTTACTAGGTGAGTTGTTAACGGCAAAGTCAGCAGCTTAAATCAACTAGCCATTCCTCTGGAAAAAGATAAGACTTTTTACTCTTGTGAAGATGAACAGTTTTTGAAACCCTCTATAAGGTCACTATGAGTCAGAACTGACTTGACTGCATATAAACACTACTAAGAACCACTTTTATTTGTATAGCTCAACATCCCACATGGATTCTTCTCAATTTCTGTATATCGATGGTATGCAAATGTCATCTAATTACATATAACAAACTGTTTCACTTGAGAGCAGTTTAGAAATGTAGACTCTTAAGACCCACCCTATACCTACTGAATCAATGGTTCCTATGTACATTTTAGTTTGAGAAGAACACCTATAAAATACACTGGGTTTTTTAACAAGAACTTCAGTTAGTAAATCTCAGCAGAACAAACAAGTTTTTTGTTTCTTATTGTAGTAAATAAATGCTAATATGCTTAGAAAATTAGTTCATACAAATTAATCAAATAGAATGATGGTAAATCAATCTTTCCTGCTAAAGTACCAGTACCTGAACATGCCATTTCTATTTAAATCTTCAATCATATGGTGAATAATAAAAATTATGACCAAAAGTTGCTTGTCCCTTTTTGTACTGGCTTCCAAGGAGCTCACAGTAACACTTGACACTCAAATTTTCAATGCTGAAACTCTTATGATCGTGTTTTTTCACTTTCTTCTAAATCCATATAATCCAATGTTCCATATCTTAGTCCTTTCATTGTACAATTTCTTTTGAAAATACTATGTCATATTTTTCATTTAAAAGGCTATACATAAATGATGATGAACAAAAATCGTTGAGCTTTTGATTCTTTCAAAAAGAATCTGCTTCTCTTTCTTTGTAATGCCAAGTTTTTATGCTGAACTAGCAAGTCTTTGTTTTCAGAAAGCTACTAATAACTTAGGAGTTACTGAAAAGAGAGAACCACCACCATAAAAGTGCTTTCACAAGTACAGGGAATTTATTTCTAAGCTTTAGTCTATGCTTCAAGATAAACATCCAAGTAAACAAAAACAAAAACACCTTCAATTCCTATTTGAAGTCCATTTCCCTTATATTAACTTTTTTGAACTGTAAAAGTCAGTTTAAACAGCAAGATCAGCGGTTCAAGCTCACTGGGCACTCCTTGGAAACCCTACACAGGGTCGCTATGAGTCAGAACTGACTCGATGGCACTTGACAACATTAAAAAGCCCTGCCTAAAAAAAGCAAAAAAGTGGCTCTGGTAGCGTAGTGGTTACGAATCGGGCTGCGAACCTTAAGGTCAGCAGTTCGAAACTACCAGGCGCTCTGTGGGAGAAAGATGAGGCTTTCTACTCCCGTAAGGATTTACACCCTCGGAAACCCTGTACAGGGTCGCTATGGGTTGGAACCGACTCGACGGCACTTAACAACAACAACAAAAAAAAGCAAAAAGACAAAGCCATACATGAAACAAACTGCTTCATGGGCACATTTCTGTCTCCTTTATTATAAAAATTGGTGATACATTTGTTAGAGGGTGGGGAGGTTCTGCAAGAATGATCCTTGGATTTTTAAAATTTTTTTTATTTTAAAGGAGGAATCAAAAAAGTAAAAGCAGAAGTATCTGACTCAAAGCTGAAGTCTAGTATGCTTGAAAGGAAGAACACTACATAAACTCATAATATTCAGTTTAAAATGGTTAATAGTTAGCTGTAATGTTAACTTCTAGCATCTGAAAGAGTAGCAGAAATTAAAATGTTTCTTTATGCAAAGCCTTAGACTAACAGAAAAATTTTTTTTAGCTGAGCAGAACAGCAAATGCTAGGTATGATTTTTCAGCTTTCAATTATAATAACCAAAACCAGAAAACATAATTCTTTCACAAATTAACAAATTACTGCTATACCAACAGATTACCAGTATACTCATGGATATGACGCTCTCAGGAAATTACCTGCATCTTGCCTTCCTGATGACAACAGTTTTTTTCCTGTCCCCTGGAACAAAAGCAAACTACATCCATATGTGGGCTAACAACACTGTCTGGGATCCAGTTATCCAAAACAAGTCAGACGAAAACCAAGATAAAAATATTAACACAACTCCTGAAGCAGGTGACTATAAAGGCAACTCTACAAGTATGCCTGAAATAGCAATATCAACTGACATCAAATCTTTAACTACCAAATTTGAACAGGAGAGTTATACACCTTCTATAATCAGGAACAATTCTCCAACAGTACAGAACATAAAAAACACAAGCAAGAGTCATAGTGAAATTTCCAAAAAGGATGTCTGTGATGAAAACAACAACAAAATGGCCATGCTCATTTGCTTCATTATCATTGCACTGCTTTTTCTTATCTGTACTCTTCTATTTCTATCAACTGTGATTCTGGCAAACAAAGTCTCATCTCTCAGAAGATCAAAACAAGCAGGCAAACGTCAGCCTCGAAGCAATGGTGATTTTCTGGCAAGCAGTGGGCTCTGGCCTGCTGATTCAGACACTTGGAAAAGAGCAAAACAGCTCACAGGGCCCAACCTAATGATGCAATCCACTGAAGTGCTCACAGCTACAAGGGGAAGAAAAGATGAAGAAGGAACTGAAAGACTAACTAAGACTTTAATGAAGATAAATGCAACATAGCAGTGAGTAAGACTGTGGAGTAAAAATGAAGTCAGTTTGGTATTTAATGTCAAAAGTGTTGATCTAGCGGTCTACAATTTGACAGGTCACACCTTACAAATTAGAAGCAAGCAGGCAGGAAGAGAACTACGGCTGTTTACTTAATTACTTAAGCTGTGCACTTCTGTCTTAACACTGAATATTTTTAAAAGTATAATAAAGCAATTAAGCAACTGAGAAAAGCTCTAAGATGTGTCAAGGGAGCTGGCCAGTAGAGGTACAAAGGAATAATTAAATATGTGTTATTTAATCAGTAACAGTTAGAAAATCTTTCTTTGGATGTAACAAACTTGGAAGAGTTTAGAGTCAAGTATATGCGTCAGCATCTAAAAGAAGTTGAATTCCTAGTGTATATAGTTGAGTTGCGTATTTCAATGGTACTTTTTATTTTTTGCCAAATATGACAGAATCCATACTAGTTCATTCATAATCCAACACTGCTAATTTTAGGTTAGATGTTTTCATCTTTACATATGACATGCAAAACAAAGTGTTTTTCTACATAAATATTAAATAAAACCTTTAAATTTTGTATAGTAAATTAAAACTAGTTAAATAAAACTGTGACTATGTATACTTGCACTATAAAGATCAACAGCAAATAGGACACACTTAAAATAGATAAGATTTCTATTACCTGTTTAAGTGTAACATGCATCTTTTCTATAAATGCTTATTGAAATATGCATGGCAAATATCCAAAGTCTGGCTAATTTTTGGGCTTTAAGGATGTCAAAGTGGCCTAAAAGGTGACCAATTTTATATGTCTAATATTTAAATGGGAACATGATTGATTGCTTCAGACAATAAGCACTGGGCTGTGACCTATATAGTCTGCTGTTCAAGCCTGCCAGCTGAAATTTAAAGCCTTGTAAACCCTAAGCAGGGTGTCTCTGAGTCAAAACTTGACTCATAGCAACAACAATAACTATTTAAATATAACATGAGAAAAGGAAAGGCGTGTGTGTGTGTGTTAATCATACCTGGAAAACTCAAGTTTTCATTTTAACCTTCAATAATTTAACCCAAAAAATAGTTTCAAAATATGGGGAGCACACAGGGGACAAAATTACGAAAACTTCTTAGACATTACCAAACACTTTGAGGGAACGATGTGCTGGTTTTGGGGGCTAAGAACCATAGTCTAAAGGGATGGCATAACACAGTCCACAAAAACAACGGTGAGTTGTGATGGGAATCTTGAAAGCTCATGAGCAGCCATCTAAGGTGCAACTATTGGCCGCTTCCTGTCTGGAGGAAATAAGAGTGAGGGAAACTGAAAAAACTTGGAAAAAATTATTCCAACAGACTAATATGAACCATAAGAACATCAGTCTCCATGACCCTGAGACTAGAAAAACATGGTGCTCAATTACCACTACCAACTGCTCTGAAAGGGATTTCATTAGAAGGTCCTAGAAAGAGTGGTGGTGGGGGGGGAGGGGAATGTAGTACAAAACCTCAGAATCCTAAGAAAGACCAGACACACTGGTCAGAGACAGGTGGAACCCTAAGACTATGGCTCTTGGTCACCCTTAAGGTCTGAAACTGAATTCATCCCTGTGGTTCAATTTTCAGCCAAGCACTAGATAGGTATATAGAAGAGATAACAACACTAGTGTGGTACACACACCATAGAATGGTCATCGGCTCAAGATTAAAAGGGCAGCATTTACTTAAGGACAACATCAGAAAGGTGGAGAAAAGAGGAATGGAAACAAGAAACTTAGGGAGGAACTAGGGTAAGTGATGTTACACTGAGGCAACCGCAATCGAGATGAAACAAAGCTTATGTTTGTTGAATATAAAACTGATGATCTGTTTTCATTTAATTCACAATAAAAGTTTAAAAGTAGCTTCAAGTAACATAATGACTTAGATTTAAATAGAAACTTCCCTCTTTAATTGTTAAGTGCCGTCAAGTTAGTTCCAAACTCGTGGTGACTCAAACTGACCTTCTGGTCCAGTGCTTGTGCTATAGCACCCCACCAGGACTCCCATCATGTATAAAAGCTAGTTTGAAAGACTTTCCTCTACTGAAACTGACATGGGACAAGGACATACTAATTAAAGACTTGTTGTTATTAGATGCCATTGAGTCGGTTCGGGCTCACAATAACCCAATCAATGCACAACAGAATGAAACATGTGCACACCTGTGCCACAAAAAAAAAGAAAAAAAAAATCTCATGCCTTGTGGAGTATTTATTTAGTCAACAGGTCAGCTTTTTTTTTTCCTTGCCCCCTTTTCTTTTTTTTGAATGGCCACATCTTACTCTCCTTTTAAGGTTAGTGTTTCCTCACCCTGAATGCTTGAAGAACCATCTGAGGCTTTTTAAAAAACATCAATGCCTAATTCCACTCTCTCTCTTACTTCTGGATTCAGTTGGAATGGGTGAATTCCAGGCACTGGTTAATTTTTGCAAAACTTTCTAGGTGACACAGCTTTTGGTCATCAAATGTATTTCTTTAAAGTTCTGTGGTTCAAAGATCTTGGTTATTTTTAAAGGAGGGGAGAAAATTTTGTGGATAAATTAATTCCCTAAACAATAAGGAGCTCTGGTAGCGTAGTGGTTACCAGTTGGGCTGCTAACCTCAAGGTCAGGAGTTCAAAATGAACAGCCGTTCCACGGACAAAAAAGAAGGCTTTCTGCTCCCATAAAGATTTATAGCCTCAGAAACCCTATACAGGGTCGCTATGAGTTGGAATCGACTCGACGGTATACCACCAAACAATAAATCATAACCATGTTATTTCAGCTAAATGATTACAAAGTGAAAAAGAAAGCAAGAGAAATCTCAGGAAGCCTGAACTCGGGCGATCTGGCCTGTGGTGGGCTATACCAATCATGGTGACATCAGTTTATCTCTTGTGGGGTGAAAAACAGCCGTGGCTGGAAATGTAACCAGACAATGTTCTCATTTTGTGCAAATTTGAAATGTGAGATTTATTTTGAGACTTTAAATTTATACCAGACCAAATAATGATAACTGCGCAAAGCATTCTTCAAATGTAAATAAATGTTTGCCAGAGAAAACTAAAACAAGTTAGTATTTAAAAAAAATAAGCACTGGGGAAAAAACAAAATAAAACACTGAACTGTTAAACACACGGGTGGCTGTTGAAACCAGCTGCTCCTCAGAAACCCTACACAAGACAAGGTTGCTCTGAGTGAGAACTGACTTGATGGCACCGAACAGCAGTATCACTTGGTTAGGAACTATTATAGGCTCAGGAGCATCACAGCAAGTGGTTCCTCTCCAAACTTGACACGTAATTCAAAACCTCGACAGCATTTTGATTATATTCTACTGTATATTATGTCCTCCTCTAAAAACAAAAAAGCAATTTCTTTTGCATCAAGTTGTAAGTACTTAAAAAGTTAAGCCCTAGGTCTTACCCTTACCACGACTGGAAGAGAACTATCACCACTACCCAGTTCCAAACTTTTTTCTATCTCTGCTTCCACCTCCACCCCTCGCATTCCTTCCTTTTTTTCTTTTGCACAGAAGGTCCTGATGGTTTGTCCTAATGAGAAAATTTACCTTGTTTCCTTCCAAATACATGAAGAAAAAAGAATCTGTTATACATGTTATTTAATTTAATTTAATTTAATCCTTGCAACAACCCCAATAAGAGAGCAAAGTACCTCTCTAGAGGAGGAAATGGTGACTCAGAAGTACGACAACTTGCCTAAGATCATAGAAACATCATTCACTTCTGAATATAAGGAACCTCAATATGGGTAACAACTGACAATTTCTCCTCAGAGTACACAATTGTCCTCTCCAGGGTGCCTTTCTGAGCTATAAATTATATGATCATATTATCATTTGTTGCTGTTATGTGCCAGCAAGTCAGTTCTGACTCTTAGTATAACCCCTGTATAGGATTTCCAAGGCTGTAAATCTTTCTGTTACCAGAAAGCCTCAACTTTCTCCCTCAGAATGGCTGGTGGGCTTGAACAACTGTCCTTGTGGTTAGCAGTCCAATGCTTGTCCTATAGCACCACCAGCGCTCTAGAATCATTATTAGAGTTTCAAATGTTTACTTCAAATATGAATTAAAAGCACTCAAATCATGTAGCTCCAAATTATGTTTCAAAACAAGTTTTGTTAAAACATTACATTTCTTAGTCATTTTGTGGCTTATTGCACTTCCGCAAGTGACTATTGATAAACTTCCTCTTTTTCTACAGAAACCATTTCAGTTAGCTAAGGGACCATTTTTAATCTGAACTGAACCACCCCTTTTGCTTTCTTAGCCAAATCACCAAAATGTCCAGTTAAAACAAGAATATATAGCATTCTACAAAAGAAGTTAACAGCTGAGGTAAGACAATTTTCACACAGGCAACTTAGTTTGATACTGCTTTATGTAAAATTTATTTTATAAACTAACAATGTCACTTGTATTTGAAACTTAAGCTAAACAACTGAGAAATGTTTACAACAGGTTTTGTTGCATGGAAAAAAATGTGTAAGTTTACCATGAAGAAACATTTTTTACCTAGGTTTTTAAGACATAAACCCTTTTAAAATTAATTCAATCATAATGTTTGTTAAATTCTACACTCAAAATAGTAACTATAGCTATGGCAGATAAAGTAAAAATCAACATGCAGAATTATAGTCCATGAATATAACTAAATTTAAAATCTTCAAACTATTAATTGCTAAAAATGCTTATTATCTTTCTATAAAAATTTCCTGTACTATAATATAATCTATGTTGATGTTGGTTGCCGTGGAGTTGGTTCCGATTCATAGTGACCCTGTACAGGGTTTCCAAGGCTGTAAACCTTTACGAGAGCAGAAAGCCTCAGCTTTCTCCTATGAAACAGCTGGTAGTTTCAAACTGCTGACCCTGAGGTTAGCAGTCCAATTTGTAACCACTATACTACCAGAGCTCCTTAATATAATCTATAGATTAAAATTTTCCTGTACATAATATATAACCT